TGGGATTACAGGTGTGCACTACTGCACCCAGCCCCCACACTTTTTTATTTTTTATTTTGAAAAAATGTCTCACTGAGTTGCTGAGGTTTGGGCTCTGGGTGTAATTCAGTGGGGTGTAGTGCAAAAAAAAAAAAAAAAGGGGAAAAGAAGATGAAAAAATAAAATGCTAAATTGCTGAGGGTAGCCTCAAATTTGTGACCCTTCTGCCTCATCTGCCTTAGCTTCCTGAGTTTATGGGATTACACACTTGTCACTGTACCTGGCCCTTCTGACTGGACTGGGCTCCAGGGATCTCCTTACCAAGGAAGTACCTTGATTAGCAAATCCCTCATTGGATTTTTGAGTCTGAAAGGTAGGATTAGCTAGTGGCATTATATAGAGCATGCACTGGGAATATCAGCCATTGACTACCACTAAAATTGAAGATATGGCAGGGAGAATAAGGCAACATTTAAAAAAAATGTGTAGGATAATTTTGTCTGCTTTGGTCACTTTGTCTCATGTCATTCTCTTCCAAATCCTATGTGGTAGGCATTATTAATTCCTATAAATGAGAAAAATTAAGTGCCAAAAAGCTAAATTATTATATACACAGCTAATAAGTCATGGGATCACTATTCCCAGCACAACTCGTCTAACTTGAAAATCCATGCCTTTTCCACTGTGGCGTACTATTTTGCAGATAGGAAAATCCTGGGAGATAAGACTAGGGACAGGTTGGACCTCAAGACTCATGAACCTAAAATATTCTGCTAGATAGTTTCGGTCCTTGAAGGCTTACCAGTACAGGAAATGTCTACTCAGTAAAAGGTAACTTAAGAATTTTTATCCCATTGACAGGGAAATTCAAAAACAGATTTTATGAGCTGGGCATATAGGCACACACCTGTAATCCCAGCAACTTGGGAGACTGAGGCAGGAGGATCACATGTTCAAAGCTAGCCTCAGCAATTTAGCAAGGCCCTAAGCAACTAAGTGAGACCCTATCTCAAAAATAAATAAATAAACAAAAAGTACTGGGCATGTGTCTCAGTGGTTATGTGCCCCTAGGTTCAATCCCTAATGAGAGAGAGAGAGAGAGAGAGAGAGAGAGAGAGAGAGAGAGAGGGAGGGAGAGGGGGAGAGGAAGGAGGAAAGAAAGAAAAGAAAGACCCAGATGGTCAGTGTATGAGCTAGTAAAATGGGTGTGAAAATTTAAAGAAACAGCTGCTCAAGGTTTTGTTTTTGTTTTCTCTTCCTAAAGGCAGATGTCCAAGTTTTTATTTTATTTTTTATCCCTGACTCCCTAAACACCAGAAATCTGGGCCCTCCTAATGTTTTGTTACTATAGAGCCAGATCCAATTTTCTTTGTTAAAAGCACATTGAGGATTGGACTATAGCACTGAGGACAATTCTGTCCTTCACTTGTAAAAAGTTGTGTGGGAGGAGTTAGGACTGGCAAAATAGCCATAGTACTATGGTGTTTAAGTATGTATATATTGTAAGGGGGGTGGCCAACAAGAAGTTCAAATCCAGCCTATGCAACTTAGTAAGGCCCTACACAATTTAGGGAGATCCTCACCCAAAATAAAAAACAAAAAGGGCTGGGGATGTGGCTCAGTGGTTAAAACATCCCTGGGTTCAGTCCCCTGTACAAAAAAAAAAAAAAAAAAGTAAATATTGCAAAGGAAAGACTAACCCATGGTGAGCCAGAAATTTTACACAATTGAAAGATGATTCGATAAGTTATCTGTCAAGAAAAAGAACAAAGCCTCAAATCAGAAGGGCATTTCTTGATCTAGGAATGAGACAGACAAGGTGGAAGGGTGTAGCTAAATAAAAGCATTGTGGTCAAAACAAAGACAAGCTTAACCATTCTGAGAATCCCTGACAGGCAGTTGCTGATTCAGATTAATGATAAGGAAGAGCAGCAGCATTCTGCACAGGTGTAGGCGGTATGTCCTGGGGAAGAAAAAAGGGAAAACACCATGAACCCCAGACAAAAGAGCTGGAGGTGGTGGCAGTTGGGGACAGTGGGCAATGGGAGGCAGGTAGCACACTAACAACTACTAATTAATGTTGCATCTAAAATATGTGCACATGGACCCCCATACAGATTTTATCCTGCTTAAGAATTACTCCAAGAATGCAGAGAGAACTGTCTCCCCAGTCTTGGGTTCTCTACCCCAAGTCTGTTCTTTTTTTTTTTTTTTTTTAGTATTGGGATTGAACCCAGGAGTACTTCACCACTGAACTATATCCCTAGCCTTTTTTTTTGGTACTGGGGATTAAGTCCAGAGATGATTACCCACTGAGGCACATGTCCAGCTTTTTTTTTTTTTAATTATGAGACAGGGTCTTGATAAGTTGCATAGGGCCTTGTTAAATTGCTGAGACTAGCTTTGAATCTGTAATCCTCGTGCCTCGGCCTCCCAAACTGCTAGGGTTATAGGCCATGCGCCACCATGTCCAGCCCCTTTTTGTTTTCGAGACAGTTTAAATTTCTGAGGCTGGCCTGAAATTTTCAATCATCCTGCTCCAGCCTCCCAAATCTCTAGATTACAGACAGGCACCACTGCACCTGGTTAAATCTCTTTTCTGATTAAAAGAAAAAAAAAAAAAAAGCATATCTATCTATCTCCTATTTCCTAACACAAAGGACAATCTGGGTTAAGAATGAGAGATGGTCCCCAATAGCCTGTCAGGCAGATATTTTTTTAAAAAGGGACTTAAGCCATTATTACAGTTCTTGTGGAAAAGTACAAGTTCTCCCACTGATCATGAAACAACTAATGGATCTCTAGGGAATTTTCTTTTTTAGGCATCTTCAAGCCTAATTGCAAGATCTTCATACTTCTTTGGGGTCATCTTTAGATTCTAAAAATAAGTTAATTTTAACTGGCTAGTTAAAGATATAGGCAATGCCACATTTTTATATAAAATAGCTTTAAAAAAACAAATAAGGCACTACCAATATCTATTATGTCAGACATTTTTACCTTAGTAGTTTCTTATTATTAACATGCAAACATGTCACCAACAACTAAATTCCTTAAAGCCTTTTGTTTCTGCTCCCCCATCTGAATTCACACAGATCCACTTTAAGTAATATGTGTGACACAGCATGTGCCAAAAATGGACAGGCTTTCTTGTTGCTAGAAGATAACACAAATATGGGGGGCCCTGTACTGAGAACTTCCTTATCTCTCCCAGCCACCTGTGGGTCACACGGAGGTGAGATAACTAGAGGCTCAGAGAAAGTCAGACATAAATATTATTATTTATTATTATTACATACTTCATTGCTATTAGTAAATATTTATTGACTTAACACAGAAAATGACTTTCCACATCTTAACATGTACCACTCTAGTAATATCATTTGAACTTAACAAATCTTCAAGGTATTTTATTTTTTGTTTGGTACTGGGGCTTGAACCCAGAGGCACTTTACCACTGAGCTACATCCCTAGCCCATTTTATTTTTTATTTTAAGTCAGGGTCTTACTAAATTACTAAGGGCCTTGCTAATTTGCTCAGGCTTGCCTCAAACTTGCAATCCCCCTGCCTCAGCCTCCCAAGTGGCTGGGATTATAGGCAGGTGCCACCAACCTCTGCTGCTCAAGGTATTTTAATGTTCTCTTCTGCAGAAAAGATGGTAAAGAAACTTTTCTGGGAGGTAATTTGGCACAATCTGCAATAACATTAAACAGAAATCCTACTCCAGTAATTTACTCTGAGGAAATAACAAAAATACCAAGATATGTGCATAATGATATTCACTGTAACATAAAAAAATTTTAATAGTATGCAAAATGTTGGATAATATGGGATTTCAATAAGGCTTATTCACATAGTAGGGTATTATACAACTATAAAAATGTATGCTTTTGAATAATTTTAATGGCAGTGAAATGCTTATTTACAGACTAGATTTCTTTTTTTTTGGTACCAGAGATTGAACCCAGGGGTACTTAACTGCCAAGACTCATCCTCAGCCCTTTTTCATATTTTATTTAGAGACAGGGTTTTGATGAGTTGCTTAGTCACTGCTGGCTGTGAACTCGTCGTGATTCTCCTGCCTCAGCCTCCTGAGCCCAGAGTAATTTTTTTTTTAAGAACCAGAAGCTAAGAGCACCAACTGTGAGTGTTGCTTGAAATTAAACTTGAGGCCTCATGCACACTAAGAGTGCATTCCTCCTGCCTCAGCCTCCACTAAGTTTTATCCCTAGCCCCAAGAACCAACATTTGAAATACCCATCATGTGACAGATTTGGAGCTAAGAGAATTTTACCTATTATTTAATTTCCATAGCAATCATGAGTGGTAGGTATCTCCATCTCTATTCTATAGCTCAGGAACTGAGGCTCTACTAAATTTAAGCATTGTGCCCAGGGTGCCCTGGATTCAAGCCCAGACAATACCCAAGTTTCCTGCTGTACCACGTTTCACCTGCTGTGGCTCCTAGTAGACCCTTGGGAGGCTTACAGTGAAGGTCACTGACAAAACAGAGCTGTGTATAGCTTTCTCAAGAGCAAGGGCTTATTTGGCTTTCTAACTCTTCATTTCTTCCTCCAAAAGTAGAAAACTCTTAACCCCACTATTTTGTATAATTAGTAAGTACAAATTTTTTTTAAAAATAGTACTATATACATATGTATTTTATTTTATTTTTAAAATAGCCAACTCTTTCCCCCTTAGGTAAGGAATAGCCTTCATTTCTAAGGCTTGAAACTCCATGCTGAAGCTCCAAGTGTCTGTGCCCTCTCAGAGCCAATTTCCTCATAGCCATGGGATCAGCTGTCCTGCTTATTGGTTTGGCATTTTGTCAGGTTATGAGCAAAAGGACAGGGCAGAACTGCACACCCCCATCTCTTCCAGCCAGCTGGTTCCTTGGTCTTTTCCCTGGATACTAAAACAAACAGGCTGTGTGCTCTGGCTCCCTGCTCAAACCAAGGGGGGTGGGGGGCACAAAAATATCCCAGCTATGTGAACAATCAGAGGAATATCTGGCAGCACATTTGATCTTTTGTAATTTTATTTACACTTTATCCTTCAGCCAAAGTCAGTGCCTCTAGGCAACCAGAAGCCCTCATACCCTAAGCCTTAATGATCAGCTGGGTACTGCCTTGGTGAGGGGTACCCAACCCCCTTGCTGGTTCTGTTCCAAATGGGTCCCCAGTGACACTAACTGCACCTCCTCAGAAGAAGGCAGATGTGGAATTTTTCACCAGTGTTCCAAGGCCTCTTCATCATTTCCTCTTCCCTCCCAGAGGCAGAGACAGGAAGTTACTTGGATGGGGTCAGAGCAAGTCAGTGACACCCGGGTTTGGAACGTGCTGCTTAGGTCACCACTTTATCCTTCAGCACCACAGTTCATAATTAAAAAAATAAAACTACCTAGGGACTTTCATCTGGAAAGAGAAGAAGGGGATGTGGGGATGGCACATGACACAAAAAATAACAATGGGAATAACCTGATCCTTTTTGATTCACACTCTGACTCTTTCTGCACCCACATAAAAGGACTGTATGTTCATAAAAGTTTGAAAAATAGAGGGTTAAACAAAGTTAAACAGATTAAGTTACTATAGGACTACTAAGAACCTTTAATGTGCTCATGCACACTCTGAAGGGTTTATAATGAAAAGTGTTTCTTAAACATAATGAACTATTAAACTAAGGAGTTCATAGACACCTTGACTCCAATGAACAAGCTTTATGAAGTGCTGCTCTAGGGTGAGCACATAGGATCCTGAAAAGAGAAGTAAGGCCCCAAAGAAGCTTTCACTATAGTCTTCAGTTACTATCTTCAAAACTGTAGTAGTGTATCTGACAAAGTTGTAGTTCTCCATTCTCCTGTCTCTACTTCAGTGAGGGCTGATGGTATTTTTCCACCTGCTGGTCAAAGCTTTTGGAAGAGAACCCTGCCTGGAAAAAGTTCACTGGAGTCAGAAGGTATTTTAGTGCCAGGCTCCTGAACTCAGTAACTAGAAGTGGGGCAGCCTTGCTGCTGTGAGATGGGGGAGAATCATGGCTTATCCAATCACTCTGGTCCCCTGTGGCTGCTGGGCCATTATTGTCTTCCCTAGGTATCAAGGGTGGATCTAAGCCAATTTCCTCCCTGGGTTTTGGAGAGATAAATTTTTCATCTGGAGTCTTTAACTGCACTGAAAATCCCAAGGGGGCAGTCAACACAGTCACCATCTTCTGGGATTCACAAAAAGGAGCTGCCTTGTCCCATTCTTGGCTGCAGAGGTCTGGGAAAAACTGCTTCTTGACCCTCAAAGAATGGGGGGGATGTTGCTTCTCAAAGTCCCTTGGCCAGGGAGAAAGGTTTTCTTTCTTGGTCTTCTTAGAGTCCCTGTCAGCTTGCGATTGATCAGTGTTTTCCTCAGGGGTTTCAAACACAACACCCTGGATTCTTGGCCTCTTTAGCTTCCTTTCTAACAGCCAGAGAAAGCTTGGTTTTCTAGAGGAGGAACTCATGTATTGCTGCACAGAGTCCGGAATCAGGGGCATAGAGAGCCTGGGACTCAGGCTGTCCTTAAAATAGTCTCCACAGGGCTGTCGACTGACAATGGGCAGGACCTGACAAGGCTTCAGTGCTGCAACAAATGTACGAAGCTCAGAGTAGGAGGAATGGTCAGAGTAAGGGATAATATGGATATCAGGGTGAGAAGTGTGAATTTTTCGGCTTGTGGGAAGAATAGCAATGGTAGGGTGGGACTGGTTCCAATGCAGCATGGAGGAACGGCAGATCTCTGTATGGTCCACAGCATGGATGCGGCCAGCCTTCTCTTCCACTGTGAAGACATCTGCCAGGCCCAGCAGCTGCACCAACTCCAGACGCCGGGGACTCAATACCACCCAGGTCCGAAACTCTAGGGCCAGTTGCTCCAGCAATGACTCCTTTCCTAGACTATAGAGTCCTAAATAATGTTAAAAGGATTAGGAAAAGTAAAAGGAGAGAATGAAGCTATTGGAGAATCCTAATAAATCAACCAAATGTTTAACAAAAATAAAAAATTCATGGGGAAAACCAGGGAATCAAATCAGGGAGGAGGTGGCATTCGAGCTGAGATAAAATGGAAAATGGAGGACAGGAGCAAACACAATCTACTCATTCATTCAGTTCAACAAGAGAAAGCACCTACCAAGTGTGAGGAACTGCAAAACCTAACAAACTATAAAAAGGTCTCGATCTTCCAGGAATGCCATCTGGACCCAGAAACAATGCAATCAAGAACAATAATAGAGATATACATACAGTGTTAGGAGGGCACAGAAGAGTAGCTAACAGCCTATGGAATTAGGGAGTTTCTGAAAAATGACAGCTGAACTAAGTCTAAGAATGGGTTAAGATTAATCTGGCAAGGAAAGGTTATGTCAGAAAACATTTTAAGAGGAATCATTCAATGTTACTAAAGTAAAAAAAAGAATTGGTAAGTAGTGATACTAAAGAGGTAAGCCAACATCATTAATTAGCAGTCCTGCATGTATTGGTAGGGAGCTGGGACTTAATTCTGAATGGCCTGAAGCAGGAATATGGCAAATTCTAATCAGAAGAATAATATGATCAGAGCAGGACTTTAGGAGAAAACACACACACAGTAGCAACATTAACTGATTACCTGAATGAGAAAAAACTTGAATCAATTGGAAGGCCCAAATAGTACTCATATAGAAAGAAATAGAGACGTAAATTTGGGCAATGGTTATGGAAATAGATATGGGAGATATTATTTAATAATTGTTCTCAGATTTTTTCTGATGTCTCTATCAAATCCATAACAAGATTGTGAACTACTTAAAAGAACATATATTTGTTAGACATCAACTTCATTCCTGATGGTTCAAATTTTCATTTTGGGGCACAAACATACTTGATTTTCTTCCCTTTACATACTCCTAGTTTTTTCCTTTCCCTAGGCATACAGTAGGGATTTACATACTTGCAAAATAATCAGGCTCTACCACAGCACCCTCCTAGGTACTTCTATGGAAAATTCCTAAATAAAAATTTTAAGAAAAGCTAGGACAGATGTTTCTTTACGAGCAGTCAAGCAATCCTGAGGGTAGGGAATATTTCTCAATCAATTTGATAGTCACCTGGAGGGTCTATAATTTTTTCAATATTTTTTTAACCTCATTTGAAACTCCTTTCAGGGTTGCGAATGTCCTTTTAATATATTCATAATGATGGCAGATCTTTTGCCTTTTGTGGACTTAGAATTTTGGAAATAACCAAAAAGTCATTTAGAATTATATCCATTAAACTTTTTAAAACAAAGATTGATTTTCATAAACTATCTTCCAAAAGGCAGCTCTAATTGAGTCCCCAAAATGTGTTATATCACTAGAATCACTAGAAATAGCAGTTGTTTTTTCAGTGAACCTAATTTAAAGCATAACCCTCACTTAAATATCTATGTTCTGATAAATTTCATTCATTCAAATAGCAAATATTTATTAAATGCCTCAGTGGTAAGCATAGAACTTACATTCTAGCAGGGAGACACAGAAAATAGAAACTAAATACAATAAAGATATACATTATGAAATATATTATAAGGCAATGAGTGCAATATTGTCCCTCTTCTACTTAAAACCCTTCAACAGCTCTTTGTTAAGTTTAGGATCAAATTCAAAATGGTGCTAGGTATGGTGGTGCAAGCCTGTAATCCCAAGACTTGGAGGTTAAGGCAAGAGGACTGCAATTCAAGGCCAGCCTCAGCAACTTAGTGAGACTATGTCTCAGAATAAAAAAATAAATAAAAAGTACTGGGGATATAGATTAGTTAGAGCTTCCCTGGGTTCAATCCACAGTACCAAAAAACCCACAAAGTCCAAAATGACAAAGCAGCCCTCTATCCCCTCCCACCTTTCCAGCATCCTTGCCCACCCAGTGTCTGTCGTATTAGCTGCTGCTTCTTTGTTCCACAAATACACAACTTCTTCCCATTTCCATCCATGTTCTCAAGGAGTTTAGGTGTGTGTGTATGTATGCACCAGGAGAAGTGGGGAATAGGCAATAAATAATAAGCAATAACATATTAAAATGCAGGGTATATTGGGAAGTGATGAGTAGTATGAAAAATTAAAAAAGAAGTTGAATTGATCTAGGGAATCAGGAGTTAGAAATGTGAGAGTAACAATGGAGGGCAGGTTTAACTTCAATAAGGAGGTCAGAATAGGGTTCATAGAGAAGGTGAGAGCTGCTTGTGAAAGATTTGAGAACACTCAAAGAACCTAGATTCACTAGCTATAGGTGGAAAAAAAAAGGAAAGGAAACAACTCACCAATCTTTATGTTATGTTGTGGGTACTTGCGAATGAGCCGGATAATCTGTTGGGCAGCTTCTTGTCGAGAAGGAAGAACCAATGCTGGGTTGCAATTGGTATTGTCTAGGTATAAAGTATGGATCTGTTTCCCCAATGTCAGGGCTGGCTCCTTCAGCATGGATGGCGTATATCGAAAATCACCTGGAAGAGAATATATGGAGGGCAGAAGGTCAGAGACAAAAGAATAGAAGAAAACTCTCCCCCGCCTCCAACAACAGATTGGTTGTTGATTTGTGGAAAAACTAGCATGTGTCCTGGCACTGAACAGTATATGCATTACAGCTTCTTTGTGGAAATGTCTCCATCCTGCTCCCATTTATACTAGGGGTTGAGCCCAGGGTTGCTTAACCACTGAGCAACATCCCAGGCTTTTTTTTTTTTTTTTTAACGTTTTGAGACAGAATCTCACTAAGTTGCTAAGATTGGTCTTCAACTTGCAATCCTCCTGCATCCGCCTCCCAAATTGCTGGGATTACCGGCCTGCACCACTGTGCCCTGCTCTGCTCCTGTTTTAATCTTCACAAGGATTGAACTGTCAAAGAGTGGGCAATCAGATGAGAAGGGGTCACTGCTTATAAATGATGAAGCCAGAAGGCCTCCAGACTTCTATTGTGAGTTAAAGTTACTCAAGAAAAGTAGTATCTCAGCTGGGAATGTGAGCAGGATCCCTTGGGAGACCCACCTGTATAAAGGATGGTTCCAAAGTATCCTTCAAAGAGAAACATGACAGAGCCAGGGCAGTGATTGGCATCGATGAGGGTTACAGTCATGGTCTCTCTTCCAGTTTCATCTAGAGGCAATACATGGCTCTCACCAACCTCCAAGGTTCGGATCCATTGCTTAGACACCTGAGGAAACAGTTGGGTCATCCCAGTAACCACAGACTCCCCTCCTGGAAGTACCCCTTACATGGATCAAAGAAAGGTGACCAATCCTGAGCCACCATGGAGTAAAAATTGTAAAGAGGCTTCCCAAGCAATCCCCTCTTCTACTTCCCACTCCCCATCCCACCCTTTGTATAGCTTTAAGAGTTTGAAAACAGTCTAGATAGTGATTCTCGAATTTTCTCTAGAACATACTAATCCTTTGGGGACAATTGTTAAAAAAAAAAAAAAAAAGAAAAAGAAATCTTGCCAGATTTTTCAGGATCTCCACAAGCCATAGCTGCTGAATCAGATGGGACAAATGGGGGCTGAAGAGTTTGTATATCCATGTTACTTTTAGTCTTTTTTGGGGAAAGGGGACAGGTACTGGAGATTGAACCCAGAGGCACTTTTATCACTGAGCTGTTTTTATTTTTTGAGATAGGGTCTCACTAAGTTGAGGCCTAGCTAAACTGCTGAGGCTGATCTAGAACTTGTGATCCTCCTGCCTCGATGGGATTACAGGCATAGGCCACCACACCAGACTAGGTGGATTATTCATTTGTTTTTGGGTGCTAGGAATCAAAGCCAGGACCTTGGCAAGCGCTCTACAGAGAAACCACATCTCTAGCCCAGATGGATTCTTAAGGCAAGTTTGGGAGATACTAGCCTAGCTTATGTGAAAGAAATAATTCCTTTGGCTGAACTGATCTACTTAAAGCTAAAACATCTCAACATCCCCAGTCGTTCTGTTGAAAGCCGCACTCCTAACGATACATTTTGGGTTTAAACAATTCCTGCATTGGTAAAAATTAGTCCTGTTGGCCCCCACTTTGTGACTCCAAGGTTGTGACAGATCAAGTCCCCACCCAGATGCCTGGACCAGCTCTTAAAGAGGATTACTCCAGCTCCCATACCTGTAGGTGACGGTGCAAGAGGTGGGCGGTGATGGGGGAGCAGTAGAGGGGTCGGGCCCAAGTGCTAGACAGGCCTACGGTGTGGTCCGAGTGCATATGGGACAAGAAGAAGAGCCGAGCAGTACTAGCCCGGCGCAGGCTCCAAAAGTCCACAGCAATGGGCGTGTGGGGAATCAGGACCCCGTTCATGGTGGAGAGGATGGGCTCTACTGGAGCAGGGCTCCTGCGTGAGGATTCCACATCGGCGCCCCGGTGGAAGACATGCCGGGGCAAAAACAAGGCCGGAGGCCCTAAGGGAAAGCCAACCCAAAGGAGGAATAAGTTACTAGAATGAGCAAAAAGGAAGTGACAGTGTTCGAGGGAGTCGGGGAGAAAGCCCACATCGCGGAAGTTGCTCTCTTGAGTGCCACTCCCACCCGAGCGCGGGATCCGAGGCCCAGCCGGCACTCAAAGCGCGCGCTGCTGGGAGGAGACAGGCCCAAGTAGCCGATTTCCGATTGCCAGTCGCAGCTCCACTAGGAGCCGCGCGGCTGCGCCTGGAGGTGACAGGTTGGGGGAAGGGCACCTTAAGGTCGGGTTCGGCGCTCAAGGCGAGAACTCAGTGAGGACTCTGGGGGAGAGGGCGGGACTTCCGCCAAAAGCGTGATTGGGTCTCTCCGTGACGGCCAAGGCGCGGAGGCAGAAGAAAGGCTGGAACTGGAGAGGGAGGGATCTGCGGCCGGTCGGCGGCGGGGATGGAAATTCCGTGCAGGCCTCGAGGTAGCTGGAGAGGTCTGTGGGCGGGGCGAACAGCCTGCGGGGCTGGGGTTGGGCCTGAAGGCCTAGGTTGGGGCTCGCCCGGGACGGGTGGGGGTTGTAGCCTGAGTGTCGGAGAGAATGGGTTCCAGCTCTGGGGAAGCTACTAAGGCTGGGGCGAGATGTCGTCTTAAATAGTGGTTTTTGTTGTTGGGTTTTGTTTTTGTTTTTGTTTTGCACTGACCCAAATTTTCTTTGCTCAGGATCCCACATCAAGACTGAGAGTTTCTTAGGTACCGCGGGAACTGCCCCGTGAGTGTTCGAGAAGATGCCGTATCTTGGCTCCGAGGACGTGGTGAAGGAATTGAAGAAGGCTCTGTGTAACCCTCACATTCAGGCTGATAGGCTGCGCTACCGGAATGTCATCCAGCGAGTGATTAGGTATCGCCCAACTGCCTCAGCCTGCCAATCCTCTGCACTCCCCTTGCCCCACCTTGTAGTCCCCTTCAGGGATCGCCACCCCCAGCCACTCTGAAAGAGTAGAGGAACTTTCATACTGTTTTACCACTTCATCTTCATGCTTCTTCTCCAGATTGCCACCTCATTCTCCTTTTTGGGAAATCCTTTACTCAGCGAAATCCCTTCATAATACGGACTGAACAATTACACATTACTGTTGACTCCCTGATATATCTAGTATGGAGATCATTTATAGCTTCAGACCCACATATACCACTGCCTGCTTGGCATTTCCACCTGGATAGTTCTTCAAAGGTATTCCCAAAACAGCACCAGCGTTCTTCCCTCTTTCCCAAACCTGTTCTTCTACTATCGTGTTGATGAATGTCACCAGCCAGTCTAATAAGCATGTCAGTCAACCTTGATGACACCTGATTCTTCACTTTGCATGTCAGGTGGTCTGAATAATTCTAAATACCCACTTCTGTTTTGATTGAGGCCTTCATTACCAAAGCCATTGTAGTTTACAATACACTGGTTACCTTGCTAGCTCGTTTATTTTTATTTATTTTGTTTTTTGTGGTACAGGGGATTGAAACTAGGAACACTTTTTCACTGAACCACATTCCCTGCCCTTTTTATTTTTTATTATGAGATCGGGTCTAAGTTGCTTCAGAGCTTGTTAAATTGCTGAGGCTGTCTTCGAACTTGCCATCCTCCTATCTCAACCTTCCAAGTTGCTGAGCTGCTCATTTTAGTTAGAATTTTTCCACTATATAAATCTGAGTTCATAACTCTTGCCTACAGCTGTCATTCACAGTCTTTAGTATGCACAAAGGTCCTGTGGGGTGCTTTTATGTTTTTTTTTAAGGAAGTCCAGCAGTTGATTCTAATTTTAGTAGGATGGGATGGAACCCTAACTAACATCTCTCCTGATGCCAGTAGTTTGATTCCACAGTTTAATAATCATCTACAGAATAAAGTACAAACTTACTACTGCCCAAGGAAACTCTACTAATGCAACTGCCTGTAGACTCTCAGAAGAATGTTCTCTTTTTGTTCACATCTATATGTCTCGCAGCATGTATCATTAACTAGAATATCTGTCTGATGAATTTCCTGATCATTTGGCTGAGACATTACTTCTGTGGAGAAACATTTTCTGACTTCCTGGTAGTGTTAGACCTCTGGGTCCCCTCTGTACTTTGTACATGACTTCTGTTTAAATACTTATCTATTGTACTGTAATGGTATTCTTGTCTGGTTCTTTAGTTGATTTTGAGTTCCTTGAGGTTTGAGACTTCACCTTCTTTAAGATTATGACCCCAGAGAATAAACTTGGAATATAAAAGCTGATTCATTGGAATGTACTAGGGATTCAACAAATGTTGAACAGTTAGAACAACAGTGTTTATTGCATACCTACATTGTGAAATATTGTGTGATATAATAGACAAAGTAGACCTGGTTGCATCCCTCTGAAAGATCATAATCTAATTGGATAACCAGAAAATGGAAAAGTAAAACTTCCTCTGTTGTAGGTTGGGGATTTTGTAATTTACTTCTTCCTGCTATGTATCTTGATTTCAGGCACATGACTCAGGGCTTGGACATGTCTGGTGTTTTCATGGAAATGGTAAAAGCCAGTGCCACTGTAGATATTGTTCAAAAGAAGTTGGTTTATCTATACATGTGCACATATGCACCCCTGAAACCAGATCTGGCTCTCCTGGCTATCAATACACTGTGCAAAGACTGCTCGGACCCCAATCCAATGGTGCGAGGGCTGGCATTACGAAGTATGTGTAGCCTCAGGTGAGCAACCTCTTCCCTGCCTGGTCCTCAGAGGCTGATGAGTTCAGAAAGCAATGGGGCACATTTTTTGTTGGTTTGTTTTTGTGATGCTGGGGATCAAACCCAGGGCTTCACACATACTAGGCAAAGAGCTTTACTACTGAGTTACAATACCAGCCTATGGGTCAGGTATTTAATGAGAACAATTTATTTGAGCTCTTAAGTACTAGGGAAAATACTGCTATACCCTTAACTCAGATTTTCAGCCATCGTTGACTTAATAAATTGTATCATGTGGTCTTATTAAAGGAGGTTTTTTTTGGGGTACCAAAGATTGAACCCAAAGGCACTTAATCACTGAGACATATCTCTAGCCCTTTTTATTTGTATCAGGGTCTCACTAAGTTGTTTAGGGCTTTCCTAAGTTGCTGGGGCTGGCTTGAACTTGTAGTCCTCCTGCTTCAGCCTCCTGAGCTGCTGGGATTACAGGCATGCACCACCACACCAGGCTTAAAGATTTTTAATTCTCACTCTTGGTAACAGCCCTCAGTTTGGACTAAAAAGTTAGATAACTACTACTATGGGGATTTTTACTGCCCTTGTAGCATTATTCTAAATGAAAAGTAAAATTATGGCATTTTAAGTTTGGGATAGGTTTTCTCTAGTTGTTTGTGATATGACAGATGCATACTCTGACACCTACTAAACCCTCTGTTAAGTGAAGAGGGACCTAATTATTTCAGGATCTGGTTGACTCCAGGATTTGTCGTTTAGGATGCCTGGTGTGCAGGAATATATCCAACAGCCTATTCTCAATGGTCTGCGGGATAAAGCTTCATATGTCCGGAGGGTGGCAGTCCTTGGCTGTGCCAAGATGCATAATCTTCATGGAGACTCTGAAGTTGGTAAGTTCACAGTAATCCACCATGATCAATATTTATTCATGCTTCTATTATGTGTATGACTTTATAAAAGATTATATAGCCTCAGTAGAAAATAATGTAGTTGCACTTCTGTGCATGTCTCTTAGTAGGATTCAGGGCTAGGTAGTTTCTGATATTAGAGAACTCATTTTGGGGGGCCCAAGAAAGAACTTTGCTTTAGTTACTTAGAACAATTTGGAGATGGAAGTTTTTTGCTTTACACATTTTTTTTTCTTTTTTTTAAACTCCTTTTTTTCATCCTTTGTTTCACTACTTTTATCTTTCTCCCTCTCAGTCTGCTTACATTTTATTGCCTTTGTCATTTTTATAGCAGAGAAGTTCAGCTTTATCTGCCTGGAGCTATTACTCTGGCCCTCTTCCTATAATTCTGAAGCTTTTCTTCTTTATCTGAGATCTTTGTTCTTTTTTATAGATGGTGCCCTGGTAAATGAATTATACAGTTTGCTGCGTGACCAGGATCCAATTGTGGTTGTGAACTGCCTGAGGTCTCTAGAGGAAATTCTGAAACAGGAAGGAGGTGTTGTCATTAATAAACCCATCGCCCACCATCTTTTAAATAGGTTTGGATGCCTCTGTGCTCTTTTTTATTATGAGGTCTGCATCCTGATAGAATTTTGTTGATGTATTAAATTAAGGAGAAATCTTACTGGGCATGGTGGTGCATACCTGTAATCCCAGTGACTCAGGAAGCCGAGGCAGGAGGATCATACCCTATCTCAAAATAAAAATAAAAAGGCCTGGAGATGTGACTTAGTGGTTAAGTACCTGTGGGTTCAATCTCTGGTAAAAAAAAAAAAAAAAAAAAAGTCTTGAACAACTTTTTTAGGATAGAAAAGAGAGGAGACTTAACCATGATTATTATCTTCCTCACATTTCTTTTATTTGCTCTAATTTCTCTGACTGATATGTAAAATCATAAAAATATCCTGTGGGAATACGTTCTTTCCTCATGTACAGTCATTATGTCCCCAAACTAAGCCTTAATTATATCTTAAAATTTAGGGAATCTGGCCGAGTGTGGTGGGGCAGACCTAAAATCCCAGTGGCTTGGGAGGCTGAGACAAGAGAATCCCAAGTTCAAAGCCAGCCTCAGCAAAAGCAAGGTGCTAAGCAACTCAGTGAGACCCTGTCTCTAAATAAAATGCATAGGGCTGGGGATGTGGCTCAGCGGGAGAGTGCCACAGTTCAATCCTGGTACCCCCACCCCCCCCCCACCCCCGCCAAGAAAAAAATTTAGGGAATCTGGCCAATGTGTAGTGACACATGCCGTAATCCCAGATCTACAGGAGTCCAAGGCAGGAGAATCATAAGTTTGAGGCCAGCCTTGGCAAATTAGCAAGATCCTGTCTCAAAAATAAAAGGGGCTGGGATGTAGCTCAGTGGTAAAGTGGTTGTATAGAATTCACAAGGCATCGGATTCA